TGCAAAGCCATTTTTATTTGATCAGGAATTTCAGATACAGTAGTTTTAGAAATGTTGTATGCTTTACAGTGCAACACAGATTAGTTTTACTATTTGTATTAAAGTAATTTCTATATTTTTGTCTTTTTTCTTTTCTTTTTAAATCATTTATTGGGTTTTTTATCACCAAAATTGCAGAGATGAATTATACCCTATGGATAATTCAGATCATCCCGTCAAGAGTTTGGAAGTTCAATTTTCCAGTGTGCCTCCTGTGAGTAAAGCCAGTCTGTGTGACCTTGAACAACTTGCATTCCCAGGATGCCCCTAGAAGGAGAGAATGGTAAACCACTTCTGAGTATTCTCTACCTGGAGAACCCTGAAAAGGATCACCATAAGTCAGAAATTACTTGATGGCATATGATTATTATTAGGAACAGATAATTATTCATTCATAATTAATTATAATTCATTAATTCTAGAATGAATTACTTTAGCCAGTATCCTCTTCAATATCTACGCATGTGCAGAATTCCCGTTGTAGAAACTGAACACAATGTGCACGTCAACAAATGATTGTGGCACCCTCCTCAGCTGAAGTTCTGTGCATGTAAATATTAACAGAATACTGTACCTGCCCTTCATGTTTGAAAACAAGGAAGCATTTTTACAACTCATCAAGCAAACTTTGGTAAAAGTCTTGCATACATAATAGTTGTCCAAAATATCATTTTGCTTTGTAAAATTGCATAGTTGTAGACAGAGACAAGAATAGTTAAATTGTTCTCAAGCTACAGGATTTGCCATTAGCACTGTAAAATCTAATATAATTGATACATTTGTTTTCTTTGCATTTTATCCTCTGTGTACCTGAAATTGATCTCTTTTTTTAATGTACTGTACAAAATATGGAATACTAACCTACCTTTCATTACATGATTAAACTTTGAAGCACTCTGACATTAGAATAAATCAATACCCATAACACATATTATTATACTTTTGGAAATTTAGAGAATAAAATTTCTGGAAATCTGCTGGAGCGGAGAAAGAAATATAAACCCTGTAAAGAACTATTACTGCCCCCTAGTGGTATTGAAAGTTCTTAGCACTATCCTATAAGGCTCAGAGGTCCCCAACCAAGGGTACTTCACCGGAATTCACATGTGGAATTAAGCTTGACTTCCAGCATTTCAGCAGTATAATGCCTTTTGTATCTCATATCCTGCTGTGTGTCCTCAACACTGCTGTACAAGAGGGGAATAAAACCCTGGGCAACAACTGTCACAATTCTGAGGACACCGTTTCTAAAATCAATTTGTAATCTGTTGATTCATTTGTACTGAAGTGCAGATTAATTTATATGCTATTGCATAATAACATTTATCAGCTTTTTAAAGATTGAAGATGAAACGGAATTAAAATAAAACCAGCTTTGGATGCAATGTATTTTGTTTATCTTCGTTTTTAAAGTGTTTTTTGAAATCTTTGTGAAACTTTTTTTTGGAACATTCACGTTTTTGTCTTTTTTTTAACTATATTTAATAAATTATAAATCATTCTCAGCCAATTGTGTAGGTTTTTGGCTAAAAGGTTTTGTAGTACTAAATCCAGGCTTTGCCTTGACCAGCTACCAGGATCTTTGATATCTTTGTTGGTGTGATGGCAATTCTGCCTTCTAGGGTTGGAAGTGCCTGACCTTCTGGATTTTAAGAAATCCCTGAAAGCATTTTTCAGTCAGAGCCGACTAAAGTGTTGGGAAGTCTCAAGGCCATGCAGGTTCCCCAGACATCATATTTGACTCTCCTGGGCTCACCCACTCCAGGGTAATGTGGCTCAGTAGCTAGAGAGGAATCTCCGGAACCTGGCATACTGTCACAGATAGAGGACTAGGACTTAGGAGGCCTAAGTTCGAATCCCCATTCAGCCATAGAAACCCACTGGTAGAGCCACTCCTCAAATACCCAGTTACCTTGAATGCCCTATTAGGGTCGCTATAAGTTAGCTGCTACTTGACGGATCATAACAACAATATAACTTGCAGATACTTTGTTTTTAATATGGCTCCTACTTCCTTGATATTTTTATACATATTAAACTAGTCATCTAATATTTTCTATTGTTGTACATTATTGGGAACACCAATTTTCTTTGGCTTCCCAAATTTGGATTTAGGTATTATTATGGAGTTTTGAATTTTAGCTAAACCCCTATAATTGTGAAGCAAAAGTGCAGGGATTCACAGAGCAGAATACCTTCAAGTTCCCCAGAGCAGACAACTCATTTTCTCATTAACTGGCATTTAGTCTCAATAACTCACTCTGAGTTATTAGCATGATAAAGAATAAAAAACATGTTCTCTACTTATGGTTGTAACAAATCAAACTGACAAAGATGGCTGCCTTCAACAACAGACTTCAACTAACTCTAGAGAGAAAAAAGCAATGAGCAGAGAGGCGAGGCTCTCTTTGAATTCAGAGGCAGGGCGGAACTATTGGTTAGCACTGGATAGATTGACAGTCACCCCAGCCCAGAAAGGTCCCTCCCAGCCATACCTTCACCAGGCAGCATGTGAGGTTGTAAAAACTCCAACAGTTCTTATGCAACTCTCTATGTGATGCTGTCATCATTTGTTCATTTTCTTATTTCTTCCATTGACTCTACTATTTCTTCTGTCATCCACTTTTTAAATTTGCATTTCTACTTTTGAGATTATAGTTGGTCACTTCTATTAATACAGCATTACTTTAGAGCATTTATATCTGAACTATTAATCCCCTCTTTATAAATTTAGGGTAGAATCCCAGCTAGTCAAGATGTCTGTGAACTAGCTGAGATGCTATAAGGCTAGCGTGAACCGAAATGCCTCTGAGTATGTGGATGTTAGAAATATTAGGAATATCTTGGCCATTGTCAACATTTATGCTGGTATAGTGACTATGGGTCTAAGCTGAGAGAGGATTAAATCTGGTATGACTTTACTCCTTTGCTGGCTCTTCTTTGGCTGATGTCAGCTAACACAGCACTTGTGCTGGCAGATCCAGTTGTGTCAGCAGTTCTGAGATAACCAGTACAAGGGAGTTCTGCCAGCACAAAAGCCCTCTGCCAATTCCAAAGTCACTACAAGTGGCATATCTTTGGGTTTGGATTGCTCTGTCTGTTGGAGCTCTTTTGTTTACTTTCTGTGTTTTTCCTGATTCTACTTTTTAACATTTTCTTTAACTTGAAGAAAACTACAGCAATTATGCGTTTACTATCTAATTTAGACCAACTCTAGGATAAAATTGCAGACACTTAAAATTGTCTCAGTACATCGGATTAACTAGAAAATAATCTATTTGGTCCCTTACAATGTTGTTAATGCCATTTGATATTAATTTTTCTATGTACAGCCATGTGAAAAATAAAGTACACCCTCTTTCAATCCTATGGTTTCACGTATCAGGACATAATAAAAATCATCTGGTCCTTAGCAGCTCTGAAAATTGGGTGGATACAACTTCAGATTAACAACAACACATGACATATTACACAATGTCATTATTTATTTATTAATAAAAATAAAGCCAAAACAGAAAAGCCATGTGTGAAAAACTACACCTTATAATTTAATAGCTTGTAGAACCACCTTTCGCAGCAATAACTTGAAGTAATTGTTTTCTGTATGACTTTATCAGTCTCTCACATTGTTGTGGAAGAATTTTGGGCCACTCTTCTATAAAACATTGCTTCAGTTTATCGAAGTTTTTGGGCATTTGTTTATGCACAGCTTCCCAAGGTCCTGCGACAGCATTTCAATCGGGTTGAGATATGGACTTTGACTCGGCCATTACAACACCTTGATTCTTTGGATCATTGTCCTGCTGCATGAGCAAATTTCAGCCAAACTTTAGCTGTCAGACAGATGGCTGCACATATGACTCTAGAATACAGTACTTTGGTATACAGAGGAGTTAACAGTTGACTCAATGACTGCAAGGTTCTCAGGTTGTGTGGCTGCAAAACAAACTCATATCATCATCCCTCTACCACCGTGATTGACAGTTGGTATGAGGTGTTTGTGCTGATATGCTGTGTTTAATTTTCGCCAAATGTGGTGCTGTGCATTATGGCCAAACATCTCCACTTTGGCCTCATTTGTCCAAAGGACATTGTTCCAGAACTTTTGTGCTTTGTCCACATGCAACTTTGTAAAACAAAGCCATGTTGCCATGTTCTTTTTAGAGAGAAGAACCTTGGAAACCCTTCCAAACACACCAAACTTGTTCCAACTTTTTCTAATTGTACTGTATGAGGCTGGGAGTACCCCAAGGGGAACTGCTCAGAGTGTACTGTCTGCCTCCTCGGCCGAAGATACTAAGGGACAGATATCCACCCTGGAGGAGGCCCTAAAGGGACTGCATTTGGAAGAGCAGGGGCAGGAGGACAAAAAGAAGAAGAAGCCACCAGACGGTGCCATTTTGGCGGAAAAGGGAGAGGAGACAAAAGGAAAGGAGAAGGGGGAAAGGGCCAGTGGGAGACATTTATTGGGTGCAGGAGGAAGAAGATGAAAGTAAAAGGGACTGGGTTTAAATAGTACAAGACCACCCCTGGACAGGGGAGTGGACGGAATTTAAAGTCCCTAGGGAATACGCTGAGAAAGAATGGAGGAGAAACAGCTATAGAAAGCCACCTTACTGGGGCGAGATGGAAGAGAAAGAACAGAGGAGAAAGTTCAGAGAAGAGCAGCAGAGGAAGGCTCAGAGACGGGAGAACAAGCCATGTCCAGACCATCATGGGAAACCCCGTGGGACAAGTGTTAAAATATTTGTACAGATCAGGTCACTGAGAAATAAATTAAAAGTCTTGAACATATTCACACAGGAAAGCCTGAGTAGATAGAAACAAACTGTATGTAGGTCAGCCAAACACCAGCAGTTGATTTACTGGTAAGGTTTGAGGCTGCAGTTGCCACGGGCAGGTGTTTGCGATTGCAGTGGCTGCAGTCTGTATAAAAGTAACTCAGGCAGAACATTTTGCTATTCCACCTTGCTTATGGGAAGCCATGCTGGCAGTGGGTTCGTGAGTAACCAAGTCATTATGTATTATGTACATGCTGTTATGATGAAATTAAGCTCTTTCAATTAAATGTTAAATACAAAGTATTTTGCTAATTAAGTTTGCCCGTCAGAAGTTTTTGCATCCTGAGATAAGAAGACAAAGCACTGTCTTTCTGTCAGGTCTCTCTCTTTGTCTCCAGAAGGTGACACCTACGCTTATTTAGAGTTCACTGTTTATGTACACATAAGCAGAGTTTTTCGACAACAAGTCCATTCAGGCCAGGCTGAGACCAAATCCAGGCAAGAAAGTACTGTATGGGAACCACAGATGAGGTGGTTCTTCCACCCTCTCCATTAAGGTTAGCTGCAGGTGTACCTGATGAATCAGGCATTCCACAAAAGTCTTCAATTCTACCCCTATGCAATTAGAAGGGGATTTTATTAGGGTTTAATGAAAAGAAAAAAAGTGTACTGCCCCTGAAGCAAGAGACAGAATGTGTTATAAAAGTTGGAGTAAACAAGTTGTCACAAAGTAAAGGATTTGTTAAAAACACACGGTGTTCCAGACTCCTCCATCAAGTGTGACGTAGATGAGGGAGAGAAGGGAATTACACAAGATCACATACTGTCATGAACTTTAAGATTGAACATGCTAATTGGGGCCTGTAGATGTAACTCTTTGTTGTTGTTTTAATTTCTATTAACATTGCATGGCCTGACCTTGGGATTAATTTGCTTGGATGTCCACTCCTGGGAAGATTGGCAAACGTTTTAAATCTTTTCTACTTCTGAATAATCTTCCTCACTGCAGAATGGTGGACTTTAAATTGTTTGGAAATGGCCTTATAACCCTTCCCAGATGGATAAGCAGCAACAACTGCTTCTTACTATGATTGCTGATGTGTTAACACACTGAATGCTCCAGACCAGCAAACTGCTAAAACATCAGCTTTTATAGAGGTGGTCACACTTGCTGATGATCACTCAAGGGCTTTTGGTTAGCAGCACCTGGCTGCTACTTAGCCTCTACATTCCTGTGGAAGCATTAAGGGTATACATAGTTTTTAACATATGGCTTTATTTTTGTAAAATAAATCATGATATGGTGAAATATGTCATGTGTCATTGTTCAGCTGAGGTTGTAGTTACCTAATTTTCAGACCTACTAAAGACCATATGATTTTTATTATATCCTGATACTGTACGTAAAACCATAGAATTAAAATAGGGTGTACTTTATTTTTCACATGACTGTATACAACCTCCTTTGTGGCATTTTGAATGCAGTGCTGGTGACCACATATTTATTCTCACCAAACTTTTTAATTTGTTCTCCATCTTACTTTCATGTTCCTAATCTGTACTATATTTTCCTACAAAATCTCCATAGGCTTCTATCTTAGCATTACAATCCTCCACTAAGAACTTTTAAGTATTAATTTCTGATATGTTTTATAACAACTTTTCTTTCTTAATTGAGATCTTCTTTGCTTTCTTCATCTTTGGGGCATGTACAGTGTTGATGTCTCTGGGATTTGCATTTGGTTTAATAAGCATCACCCATTCAGGGTATGGGATGATATTTGTAATTGCTGCACTTACTTCTTTTATTACTGTGATTGCAACTTTATAATGGTGATGGGAATATTATACATCTCTCTGATTATTACCATAATGATCAGTAATAAAAAGTAATTGTATTATGAGTCTTCTGAGATTATAACTCAGGCATTTAGATACATTACTGTACAGACAAAACACAGGCTTATTCAGATAGAATATTTGTTCCCCTACATATACTTGACCATGTGCTGATGCTGTCAATATTTTTCCACCTATTCTGATGATATGAAACTCAGACGGATATTGACAGTAACAGAGTGACAAATAATTAATAAATCCAGCATAAAATAGTATTTGAAATGTGTTCCTAAAGTTTTTTTTAAGGTCGGCATGAAAGACATCTAATTTCCAAAAGAGATTAAGAGTGCAGTGAACCTCTGATGAAAAGGGCTTAGATTGGAAGTCTCCAGTGTTAGTGTTAATCTATTTTTAAGCATACCACATATACATATAAACACCCCAAAATCCAGTACTGTATACAGAATGTTTAATTAGTTCCATAAACTTTTTAAATTAACTTTTTATTTATTCCTTGGAAAGATGCTGATTTCATAGAAGATAAATCGTGTTTTAATGAATGAATGTGCATAGAAACCTCTGAAACATCTGGGCCCAAACTGCACCAAATGGTACATAAAAAAAGGAAAGAACAAATGCTCCATCTGAATGAACCCATTGTGTGCCCAGTATCTATATGTACTTGGCTGATTTTAAGTACAACTAACTTTACTTAATGCAAATATCTGAATGTTCATCATTTCCATTCCTTTTAGTATGTGGATTTTGCATGTCTTGTGCATAGTTCAAAAAACTTATTTTCAGCATAGATATTTTTAGCACCCTTTGGCTTCTTACGGACCCATGATCTTTCTTTTCCAGAAACTGGGCTATTTAACTGCTGCTTGGTATTATTTGAGCTGACTGGAAAACTCAGTGAGTTGTAGCACCCAGTCAGAAGTTTGATTCCCCACAGCATTGCCCAAGAGAAGAGCCAGCCTGTGTAGTCTTGGATAAGCTACAAAGTCCCATGCTCCCAAAAGGAGGGGCTGGTAAACAAATTGTGTACTATATACCAAGGAAATCTTGGCAAGAGTTGCCATGGGTCTGAATAAGCTTGACAGCACATAATTATAATTAATTTATATTTAGTAAAGCTGAGACTTGTATCTATGCAACTCACAAAAGTTGACTCGGGGGTAACACCATTGATTATTAATGCCTGTAATAATAAGTTACAATAATGTAATTGATTTCTGATTATTATGCATTTTGACAGAGAAGCTTACAAACTTAAATTGTTCTTCTCCTTTTGTCCAGGTTCCTGGAGATCTGTTTCCCTCTCTTTGAAGTCTAAGCTGCATTCCTAAAATCTACGTTTTCTGTTATTAAAATGCTAGGAATTGAAGGATTGGTGGGGAAAAACAAATTAATATGAGGAGACACACTGTTGGTGCATCTCTGCTTAAATATCATAACACCACAGCAAAATTTTGGAAAGCATTCTGTATCAAAACATTGCAAGTGGTTAAGTTCTGCATTCTTACTCACGCAACCATTTTGCAGTTTGTAAAAATTAAAAAAAAATCTGTCACCTCATATTTATGGTAAAGTAAATATTTTTCTAACAAGTTTACCTCCAGAAGTCACTGCATATCAACTTCAACTTTCACAAAGAATGAATAACCCCATGGAAATATGCTTGTGTGTGTGACACTCCAACCACTGTCATTCCTGGCCAAGCACTAATTAGCATTTTTGCTCTACAGGATCATAGCCCTGGCAAAGAACAAACTGCCAACACATAGAGACAGTTCAACAGAAACTCTCAGAGGAGAAACAGTATGTCCACTCACCATCATTGCAGTCTCAATCGGGAAGGGGAGCCAGAAGATGAGAAGTAGCAAAACACTCAGCACCACTCCCTCTTCTTTCCCACAAAGACCTACTATGCATCCAGAATCAGAGATTATGTGATCCAACCGTTGACTACTGCTTATTCTTTCAGCCTACTCTTGATCTCCACACAACTAAAGGATCTGCCCTACATCCTATTCTGTGCAGTAGGTAGGTGAAAGCTATAATCAGCAGCACCTAGCCTTTTCTTTATGTTATGACAATGTATTTGTTCAAGCATGTTCCTGTACCCTTGCACACTCCATGGCTTATATGAACGAGGGGGAAATAGTTGTTGTGGGTATTTCGGGCTCTTTGGCCGTGTTCTGAAGTGTGAACGGGCGGATAAAAGACAAGAAGAGAGGGTGAGCCATCCCCTCATATTATAAAAGAGGAAAAAGATAGAGAGGAGAGAGAGAGAGAGGTAGTGAAAGTTATAGAAAGGGCGAAAGAGCTGGAGGTGGGGAAAAGGGGGAGGAGTTAGGAAAGATGGTGTGAGGGTTCAAATTTGACCTCTGGTTTCAATAGAGACACTGGGGACACTCGCTTTGGTAAATCATAACTATGTTTTATTGGAACATGTAACAGCAAGTCCGTATGTTCAAGCTCAACCTCTGCATTGTCTCTCATCGCCAACGGGTCCCGCAAGGGCATCCAAATGTCTTTATTAAAGGGGTTACAATTTAAGTCATTCTACGGTTCCCTTCACAAACAGGTTACTGCTTTCCATCTCAGCAGCTTCTGTTTCAGGATTTAATAACAGGGTGATCTCTTCATTTCATCCCTCCGACTCATAAGGGTCATCCTCTCATTGTAGCAGGGCCTACGGTCCATCAGGTATCCCCTCCTCTGGGCTTCCTCCAGATGCCATAACTGATGTTCCTTTTCCTCCCTTTCTGCTGCCTCCTTTTCTTCCCTGAGCCTCCTGCGCCACTCTCTAGCTTCCGACTCGCCCCAGTAGGAAGGGCATTGCGGCAGCCCCCTTCTCCGTCTGTAATCATTTTCGTACCTAGGGACCCGCACCTTCTCTCCTTTTCCAGTCCATGGGTCTTTTATCCATATCATTTCCCAACCCCCTGGTATTACGTCCACCTCCCCTTTTATATCTCCCATTCCTGCCTCTACAACGGACCTCCCTCTTTCTCCTCTTCCCGCCGAGTCACTCCCAGTCTGAGTGGCCACTGTCATCTTTGACAGTTTCCACTGGTTATCAACTCCCCGCTGTATAGTCTCGACGGGTGGTCTGTCTGTGCCTCTTGTTCCTTTTTGAGGGAGGACGACACTCCGGCGAGAGCTTCTACGCTCTTGCCTTGTGTTTCACAGGCAGGCAGAAAGGGGGTAGATGTTTTCTTGACAACGAAGGAAGGGGAGAAATCAAGGGAAACAAGAAAGGTGGTAGTTTTAGAAGACAAATGGCAGGAGGAAGAAGGAGGACTAAAAGTGTTTAAGATACCTCAGAAGGGAGCAAGAAGAGATGGAAGTTGTGAGAACAAAGAATCAGATATAAAGGGGAGTGAAGCAAAATTGCCAATAGAAGGATTAGGACCCGAAGAATGGACGGTGCTGGTATATACTCTCAAGGACAGGGTCCCTGGAGGAAGGTAATCCGGCCAGGACCTCTCCAACCGAACTAGAAGCCACCCAAGGGAGACTGATCTCGTCATCCTTGTTGCAGGACAATATGTGCTGTGAGGGGTGGCTGTTTGAGAAAGCCAAGAGACCAGAAACGATTCGGACATGCTCCCCATTGAAGAAAGGAAGTTATGAAGAGACTGTACTGTTGTTATGAATAGATTTTCCTATTGGTGTTGGACATGCTGATCCCATAAAGGTGGTTGTTGAGAGACCTAAGTGTTCTATTAATAAAGAGTTTATTGTTAAAGAACCCTCTCTCTCGTTGTTTCCCGCCAAAACGAAGGAACTGTCAGACTCTGACAAGGAACCTGAATACATGAAGGTTGTTGTTCCTAACGTTTCACCAGCACATGAAGGTTGTTCCTAACGTTTCACCAATCTCTCTGGCCGGCATCTTCAAAGGACAGGAGTCAGAACTCTGTCCATGCTCTGTGCTGAGGGGAAAATAGTCCTAACATGGAGCTTGAAATATAAGAATAGCAAAAACTGCTCTCTTCTTCTATTAAATCACTCTCATAGATACAAGAGTTATGTTATAACAGTGACAATGACACATTTATATCCCACCTTTTCTTTAATAAGCCCATGGAAACACATATTTTGTTCTTCCCACTTTATTCTCAGGATAACCCTGTAAGATAGGTCAAGCTGAGAGGGTGTGACTGGACCAAGGTCACCAAGTGAGTTTCATAACCAAGTGAGGATCTGAGGTCATGTCTCATGAGTCCTAATCCAGTCCCCATTAAACACAATAAGATTTCTTTCCCCAAATATGGATTAATTGGACTGAACAAATAAGGTTTACTTAACTGGTGTGCTCTGGTCCATGGGGTCACGAAGAGTCGGACACAACTAAACCACTAAACACACAACTGTGGACAAGTGCTGTTTGTAAACATTTACATCATCAAAGCTTATGTCCTTGGGGTTAATTTCTTTTGCACCACTAATGATATGCTATACTCTTGGGGTTAATTTAAGTTCTTTTGCACCACTAATGATATGCTATACATTATGCTGCAGTGTTTAATTGAGGTGGAAGTAAAGATACTAGAAGTTTGTATCAGTGCGCCTATGCTTTGACTGAGGATGGAGGGGTTTGATCTGTGGTGTTGAGGTGGAAGTAAAGATACTAGACTGAGGATGGAGGGGTTTGATCTGTGGTTTGAATTTCCCTGCTTTGTGAGTAGATAGCTTTTTTGTTTTAAACTGATCTTGGTTGTTTGTTTCTTTGTTTTATTTGTTTGTTTTGACTTTTTAAAGTTAATTGTAGTCCACCAGCTATGTTAGGTTGGTACAGCAAAAAGAAAAGGTAGTCATATATACTACTGCTACCTTTATATGGGTTTGATACTCCACATTGTTGATGCCTTTGAGGACAGGAGTTTGTTCAGCACCATTATACACTTATCTGCATATCTGGCAACAGAGGAGTTTGTTCAGCACCATTATTATACACTTATCTGCATATCTGGCAACATACATAACTTGAAACAACATAAGGCATACCTGCTGATTGTATCAAATGGTCTTTACAGGATAGTTAACAGAAAACTACACATAACTGTAAATTGAACTAGGAGTGTGTATGTTATTGGGAGAAATAAAATCAATTAAATTGTTTGCTGTAAGGGACATGGTGGTGCTGCCACAAAAAGCCTCTGGGCTGCAAGGTTGCAAGATCAGCAATTCGAATCCACACGACGGAGTGAGCTTCCGTCACTTGTCCCAGCTCCTGCCAACCTAGCAGTTCGAAAGCATGTAAAAATGCAAGTAGCTAAATAGGTACCACATCGGTGGGAAGGTAATGGCGTTCTGTGTCTAGTCACGCTGGTCATGTGACCATGGAAACTATCTAAGAACAAACGCTGGCTCCATGGCTTGGAAATGGGGATGAGCACCGCTCCCTAGAGTTGGACACGACTGGACAATTGTCAAGGGGAACCTTTACCTTTACCTTTGCTGTAACTGATCTTAGTCAATAGTCTGGTTTCAGCATTTTGAAACATATTAAGTTTCTAAACACTTTTCAAAGGCAGACCCACATAAAGCCCTAATTCTGTTCTCCTGCAATGGGCATAGTATGTACTCTTGTCTTCACCAAACTTGTAAAATGTCAGGCATCCAGATTCAGTGTAGAATTCAGGATTAAATCCAAAAAGGTGTGCTCCTGGATTCATTTCTGAGCCTAGATTTCCCAGTTTCAGTGATGGTTAGGAGTGCCTTTGCAGTTAAAACTACTGTATGTACCAGCTGATCTCATTCTAGACAGGTGTTATATGCCTTAGTTATATCCCAGCTAGATTACTGTAATGCACTCTGCATGAGCCCGCCTTTGGAAAGTGCATGGAAGCTTCAGTAGGTCTAAAACACTGTAGCCAGATTGTTAACTGGGGCTGGTCAGAGAGATCACATAACCCCCTGTTACAGCTGCTCTACTTACTGCTGATCCATTTCCAGACACAATTCCAAGTACTGGCTTTAACCTATAAACCATTAAACAGTTTGGGTCCAAGCTATCTCAAAAACTGTATCTCCCTTTATGTGCCTACCCAGGTGTTAATACCGTAAGATGAAGCCGTTCTCTCAATCCTACCACACTCACAGGTGCATTTTATAAGGACACAAGAGAGGAGCTTCTCTGTGGCTATGCCCAGATTCCGGAATTCCCTTCCACAGGAGGCCAGTCTTCCCAACATCTTTGCTATCCTTCCACAAACAGGCAAAGACCTTTCTCTTCAGACAGGCTTTCCCTTAGCGACTGACTGACTGGGAGACAATAAATGGGGTGATTTATATTTTATTGTTTCTAAATCTTTTTTTATATAATGCTTATACGTAAAATTTGTAATATAATAATATTAATTCTCCTTTATTATTTGTATAGTTTACTGATTTAGCTTTTAATATTGCATTTTTAATATTGTAAGCTGCCTTGGCTCCTTTTTTAGATGGGTAAGGTAAAAATATTTTAACTAAATAAATAAACCACAAGCATACGTCTTTCAGAGGAGTGGGAACCCAGCTCTAACACATGTTGAATTTCTGACTTTAACTGGTCAGGAAAACTTCTGCCTAATTTGGTCTAAGCTTTAAATTATATTATTTTATTTTTATATTGCTTCACCTAGTCCTTTACCAGTATCAGACAATAGCTGCGAATCAGAACAGTTTCTATGGATTTTTGCAGTAATCCTAGTTGCCATCCAAACTAATTAAATTTGGCTGGGCAGACTAATTCAGCCCGACAGCACGTGAAGAGGAGTGCAGCTTCGTGCTGGATATCTGTGTCTGAAAGTGTTAGAAGTGTTCTGTGGTTCCTGCATCTTTTTCTCTTTCTCCCTGTTTCACATCACCAGAGTTACTTATTACTGTATGAGGCCTGAGTCTACACAATATGAAGCAGATTCCCTGGACAACACAAGGACTTCAAAATATAGTCACATGCCCTATAATCCATATTATGATTTCCCTTTTGGCAATACAGTATATACACTGTTGTCCTTATGCTATAAATCAGACCTCGGCAAAGTGCAGCCTGAGGGCCACATACAGTCCACGAGCTGCTCCTGTCCAGCCCGCGGACAGTTTTAAACATTAAAACCATTTATAGCTTTTTGTCTAAAGTTGATCAGTTGCTTATTTTTAACATACTGCAAAAAAACCTTTTAATATTTGTGAAGAGTAACAAGTTGTTTTTTTTTTAAAAAATCCTAACATCCCTGTTTCATTTTATTTTTAAGTAAAGTTGGTTCGGCCCCCGAACACAGTTCAGATTTTTCATGTGGCTCCCCCATAGAAATTAATTGCCCACCCCTGCTGTAAATAGATGTGAGGATATCTGTTGTGCTAGGATATGGGCACAGACTGGTAAGCTAGAAACAGGGAAGAAAGTTGAGAGGGAAAAAATGATTCATTTGAAAGGTATTGGTGGAACACTTTACAGAAACCATTGACCTCCAGAGAGACAAGTCGGTCTCTCTACAAATTCTCTCTACAAGCAAAAGGCTGAGGGTACCCTGGCAGGGACTCCTCAGAGTGTTTCATTGACCTTCTTGAGTCAAGATGTGATGAGACAGATTTCAGTGGTGGAAGAGACCATGAGAAAACTGTGTGTAATAGAAAACAAACAGAAAAGACTGGGAAACGGGGATTTGACAGGGAGGCAGTATTTTGGCGGGAAAGGGAAAAGATATAAATGGGGAAGAAGGAGGGGGAGTTGTTAGAAGAGAGAGAGGAGGATACACGCTGTTGGGTGACTGAAGTGAAAGATGAGGAGGAAAAGGATTGGGTTGAAGTAGTAGAAGACGATCCCTGGAGGGGAGAACGGACAGAGTTCAAGGTTCCTAGGGACTATGCTGAGAGTGTGTGGAAAAGACAGACATATTGTAAGCCGCCTTATTGGGGTGTAACTGAGGAGAAGGAACAGAGAAAGAAATTCAGAGACTGGCAAAAGAGGGAGTCCCAGTGGCATGAAAATAGAGCATGTACCAGAAACCCTGGGAGATTCCGTGGGGATAGTGCTTTCCAACCAACACCAGGCAAGAAGGCTTGGGAGCCTTAGGTGGGATAGATTTTTCACCCTTGTCAGTAAGGTTAAGCAATGTTGTGACAGAAGAAACAGACCTATCTCGTAAATGGGCAGTACAAGGAGTTTAGTTCTACACCTCTGCATGTTGAGAGGGATTTGTTATGGAAATAAAGCTTATGAAACAAGAGGACAAATCAGTTACTAATGTTGTCAATAGTAATCTGCTAAAAAGAATGGAACCTTTGATGTTAACGGATGGCATCAGTGAGTCTTCTATGTAATAACCAGCAGAGAAGAGAGAAGGGGAAACTGTACCCAGTCACAAAGTGATAATACTAAGCTAGTTTTGGTGTATAGTTAGATAACAAGACTCACTGGAAAAGATAAAAATTCTGAGTAAAGTTGAAAGCAGAGGGAAAGGGAATAGCAAACATATGGATTCACTGAACAAAGGAAACCCATCTTTCAGTTTGCAAGACTTGAGCAGGGTTGTGAGTGATAAGAACTTTCAGAAATCACCAATTCACAGGGTCAGAAGATACTTAATGGCATATACAATAGCAATAATATCATGCCCCGAAGGTTCCATATTTCATTAGGACTCTAATAATCTCCATTCTGCCACCAACCTCATTCTCAAATAGTGCACACAACAGGCTCCAGGACAGGAGTTCCACAAAGGCTTGAAAAAATGTTGT